ATAGATAGATAGATAGATAGATAGATAGATAGATAGATAGATAGATAGATAGATAGATAGATAGATAGATAGATAGATAGATAGATAGATAGATAGATAGATAGATATAGATAGATAGATAGATAGATAGATAGATAGATAGATAGATAGATAGATAGATAGATAGATAGATAGATAGATAGATAGATAGATAGATAGATAGATAGATAGATAGATAGATAGATAGATAGATAGATAGATAGATAGATAGATAGATAGATATATAGATATATAGATAGATAGATAGATAGATAGATAGATAGATAGATAGATAGATAGATAGATAGATAGATAGATAGATAGATAGATAGATAGATAGATAGATAGATAGATAGATAGATAGATAGATAGATAGATCGATAGATAGATAGATAGATAGATAGATAGATAGATAGATAGATAGATAGATAGATAGATAGATAGATAGATAGATAGATAGATAGATAGATAGATAGATAGATAGATAGATAGATAGATAGATAGATAGATAGATAGATAGATAGATAGATAGATAGATAGATAGATAGGTTATATGAGGAATTTAGGATTAAATGATTTCCTAAAGTGGAATTTATATGGGAGCTATAGCCAATTATCGACCGATCCGGAAAAAATGTTCACTGAATAATTGGTGTATGTACACAACATAATCGTGTTAAATTTTGTACCGATATCATTTGTTAATGAATTATGTTTAATAAATTTTCGGAAGTGAATCTTATATAAGAGACGATCTAGGTTTTAGTTGATAATACGATTTTAATTGATATTAGACTTATGTATATGTGCAAAATTTTGTTGTAATATCGATGTTCTATAGGGAATTATTAACAATAAATATGTACATTATCCGAGAGTATGTAAATTTGTGTGGGAGCTTTATGAAATTTTGAACCGATTCTAATAATAATCAACCATGTTAATCTCTAAACTAAAAAAAGAGGTCTGACCCGTTTCTGTAATTTTCGCATCGAGAAAATCTGTCATATCGAGAAATTTTAATGAGTACAGTTTAAAAATAATCAGAGTCACACTGTTAAAAACTGGAAGATTATTATATTTCAAGTTTTTTCTCGATTCGAGAAAATTACAGAAATGAGGTACTGTTTCTGAAATTTGCGTATTAGTATGCCTATCTGTTATTTATGGACTGATTTTGCAGGAAGTTCTTAAAACATATCTAAAACACGAAAAATTAAAGCGATCAATTTTTTAGTTTTTCTCTCACAACAACTTTTGTTGAAATGAAAACAAACAAATAATCGGTTAATTACATTCCCGTGTAAACACGGCCTATCACTAAGTAATCGAACTGCAAATGTAAACAAACAACACTAGAAACAGCTGATAAACAGATGTTTTTATTTTGTTATTGTTTTTACTTTTCACACACATTTTCATAATAGACTAATAATTATTTTACAAGCAAAAATAAATAATTTAAGAAAAATGTTTAGGAATATCATTGTAAAGATACAAAATAACACCACAAATATAAAGGTCAGTATATTGAAACAACTTATCCAACATTTTAATATAATAAGTGTCAATAATTTCAGTTTTATCATCAGACACGCCGCCTAACACAAACTTCGGCAACAGGAAAAGTTACAGCAGCAGTGGAACAACAGCCACAGCCAGACGATAACTATGAACTACAAAAAGAGCATATAGAGGCAGCTATTAAGGCCACACCTATACTGGCAAATGTATCACCGCAAATGTGGCAAAAGGCTCATGAAACATTTCTCAATCATGGCATAAACACAAATAGTTTTTTGCAAATCGTCACCGGTAATCCCAAAGTATTAATGCGTTCACCCCGTAAAATCATAGACACTCTGGAACATTGGCGTTCGTGTCAGTTTGGGGAATATTTTCTATTTTTACTCATCACTAAATATCCCTTCCTTATGGATGTCGATGATAAGAGGCGCCTCTTAAAACAAATATCTTTTCTGCAATCTTACGTTAGTACCAGTAAAAATGTTTGGAAATTACTTATGAATTGTCCCACTCTTATAGAGCAAACAGAAACTGCCATAGAGGAGAAAATTCTCTATATGAAAGAAACAATGCGCATTGAAATACCGGAAATTGTAAAATCTGAAGCTTTGGGTAAATCTTTGGATGATATTAAATGTCGTCATATATTTCTGGAAAGACTGGGTCTATTTAAACCCAGACCTTTAAAGGCGGATCCGAATGAACCCTCTAAAAATCCGCGTTTATATAAAATTACCGATACTTCGGAGAAAACATTTGCCACTAAAGTGTGTCATGTAAGTTTGGCTGAATATGAGGCTTTTAAGGAGTTGTATGTCAGAGAATTGGAAAGAATACGTAAAGAAGAAGAGGATGAGGACGAAGATGATTTGTTAAGTGATGAAGAGAAGTAAGAGAAGAGAGTTATAATCAATTATCAGTTAAAAATTGTTTTAGATTTAAAATAAGATTGTTGTTCAATTAAGAAAATAACAAGTGTCTGTAATCACTTAATTTTCTCCAAAAAAAATATGGAATTTTATTTGAAAAGCCTAAAATCAGCTGTAAATCTTTAAATTACGCAGCAATTGATAAAACAGTGATCGTGTATTTGATCACTTCATTTTTAAAACAAATATTGAGTTTTATATGAAACCTCTGTAATCAAATGTAGATCCTTAAATAACGCTGCCTTCGAGAAATAGCGGAACTATATTACCAGTTAAATTGTGTTATTAATGGAGATAAGTTAGATAGAATATTAGTTAGTTAAATTGGAATAAATACACCTAGGCCTCTATCAGACTTATTGTGTGCTCCTTTATCTTTTATCAGTGTCTCTGAAGGGAATCGAACCCCTCTGGTCTGGACGGACTACAAAACTTACTACTCTACGGAGGCACATACATTGTAGATTAAGTCGCTGATCATTAGAAGTAAATTAACCCAGCAAAAAAAATGTGGAAAAAGATGTAGAATTTTCATCACAACTAGTAACCCGAAGTGCTTCAAATTCGGGTGTAAAACCTATGAATTTTACATTAGCGTGTCATTGGAAGGATGTTGTTCATTTTTGGCAACTTTGAACTACATCTAATCTTATTTTTAGAAGCAGTAAAAAACCGATATTTGGATGTCAAAAATAAAACACATTCTCTTAATGACACGCTTATGTAAATTTCACTACTCTTTCACCAAATCTTGATGTACTTCAAATATGTTATTTGTAATGACTTTTCCACATCTCTTTCCCCACTTTTAACTCGGGTTTCAATTGTAAGGAAATATTTAGTTTATAAAAGTGAAAAATATGTAATCGCATTTTAAGATGTGATTAAGATGTAGTTTGTAAGTATGACATCAATTATTTTTTGCTGGGAACATTCAAATTCTCTTAACTACTTTAAAAAGTAATTTAAATGAAATTATTATTATTATTTATATATTAATTTATAATTTTAAAAATTCATTAAAAAATTAAAAACCAAAACTCATAATTAAAAATACATTGAGGTAGTGCTTTTTTCTTGTTCACTTAAAAACTTTAACTTTCATTTTTCATTAAAAAACCAAAGAATTTATGACTAAGGACGGATATTCCTAAAAAGAAAGACAAAAACAATCAAAAAAGTAATAAAAAAAACTATTGGAAAAATTACAAATAAAAAACCCCAATAAATATTTGTGTTTTTTTTTAAAAAAGACACACAATTAAGCCAAATAGTAGTTGTATGAAATGCATTTTAAAATAACTAAATAAAAAAAAAAGAAATGTTATAGAAAATAAAAATGTATGACAAAGTGAAATTAAAACAAGTAAGAAAGTATAGTCGGGCGTGGCCGACCATATGATACCCTACACCAGTTATGAATATTAAATGTGATTTATTTTTCATAATAAAGCATTTATCTTCAATATTCCCTTGTTCCGATACATTTAAGCAATTTATGGATGAAAATCTAATTTTCTGAAAGAGGCTTTATATGGGGGCTAGGGGCAAATATGGACCAAGCCCGATAAAATTTTGTGAATATATTTATATTTACATAATATTTTATTGTGCTAAATTCCATCGCGATATTTGTGTTTATAAGTTAATTTGGGACATTCAAGTAATTTTCTGAAGGGGACTTTGTATGGGAGCTAGGGTCAAATGGGGCCCGATCTTTATGAAATTTGGCAGGGTCATCCAGACTTCTATAAAACTTAGTTGTGCCGCATTTTATCGATATATCTGTAAATTTAACAAAATTATGAGCTCAAAAGCCTTTTTCGGGGGGTTCTGTTCTATGGGGGCTAGGTGAAATAATGGACCGATTTCAACCATTTTCAATAGGCTTCGTCCTTGGGTCAAATAAAACGTGCGTGCCAAATTTCATCCAATTATCTTGAAAATTGCGACCTGTACCTTGCGCACAAGGTTTACATGGACAGCCAGCCAGACGGACGGACGGACGGACATAGCTTAATCGACTCAGAAAACGATTCTAAGCCGATTGGTATACTTTAAGGTGGGTCTAGGACGAATATTTTTGTATGTTACAAACATCAGCACAAATCCAATATACCCTCCCCACTAAAGTGGTGTAGGGTATAAAGACCTCAAGACGACAGCAAACATTTATAAAAATGGTGAAAAAATATATTTATGTATATTTTGCGTAGTTAAAAGACATGCTTTAGTATATATTCAAAGCTAAAATCTTGACTGGAATAAATAATTTTCAGTTGGTACTTTATAGCAAACTTAACATAACAAATATTATTTAAACATGTGTACTATTATCAGATATTTGAACAAATTTATATATTTGTGGTAGGTTTTGTGGTCGATTAACTACCTTTAACTTTGGCGACACTTTGTAGTTTATATTAAAATAAATTTTTGTTTAATATGCACTTGAAGAATTTTGTTTAGGTATAAAATCTTTAGAAAGTCTTGACTAAAATAAGGGCGTTGTACGAGATGAAAACTAATTAGAATTTTAATGGATTCAATGCAAATTATTCATTGATTTTGGTAAATAGTTTTTTATTTATAATATTTATGTATTTAAATGTTTAAATATTTATTTATTTTAGTAGGTTTTTAGGTTATTATTAAAAATATTAAAGTGGTACTACTTTAAGAATATCTAATACATAGAATGTGCGTTCCAGAAAAGGTAAAATTTCAATAGCGGGTCGTAACACATAAAGAATAGGTGTAAATCATAACTACCCGCATGTCGAGATGCGTACTCTTGTAATAAATATTCTATAGTAGTTCCTAAGCCGAATCTTATTTACTCTTCAATAACAACTTTCGTTATACCTAGTTCACACGAGCAGTTGAATTACTTAATTCGGCCTCTGAATGACGATAGCCAATTAACCCGTTTCTACGACACATTCGTAATTGTATCGTGTGTATGATACAAAAATACTTTTGTTACATATTTATTATATATGTATTTTATATTTATTTGTATTTTTTGTGATTTTTTTATTTGTCTCCAACCAATGAAAACAAACTGTTGATTATGATAAATATCCGATAAAAATTAGAGATGACTCTCATTCATTCGTAATTCGTACGTAATTCAAACTGAATTATGTACAGCTTGTGTAATTCGCAGGTGAAATTTTGTATGACCAATCATTTCAATCAGTATGTAATTGGGGATTGAATGATGAATGAGAGCGTGAATTACGAATAATTGCATCATGTGAACGGGGTATTAGTTGCTAAAAAGTTATCGATATTTTGTCATCTGTAGCAGTGATGCCAAGTGTAGGGATTTTTCCCTTTTTGTAGGGATTTTTTTCAAAAATGTCACGTGTAGGGAAAAAGGGAAAGATTTCTTACTATTGTCAAATTGTAGGGATTTTTAAATTTCATAGTTTTTAACAACTAAAAATATACTCCTTCATGTATTAAAATTTTAAAATTAAAAATGAAATCAGTTTTAAGTGTATCGTTAGTAAAAATTCCGCTTGTAATTTCTACAATATATGTAGTACCTACATATCGCTACAAGACTGGCATAATCCAAAATTCGGGTTTCTTGAACTGAGGTCTGCAAAACATGCGACATACTAAAATCTTTCATATAGATTTATCAAATTTCAAATATGTCTATTATTTTCGATGTGAAATCGATATTTTGTAAACGTAAAAACTAAAACCCACGTTTTCGTGAATATTAGACAACTAAAAATTTAATTTCAATTTAGATGAGAAACATATTAACCTCAACTATCTGAATCTGGATTTTTAAAATCCCTTGATTTGTTTAAAAGTTATTAAAAAAATAGTTAAATGTCATTAAATATTCAAATCCATTTTTCCTGAAACGACTTTTTGGATTATGCCAATCCTGTAGGGCGATATATTCTGACTCCTTATAGATAGAGTAGTCGGGGGCTTAATGCAGTAACTCAGGATTGAAAAAATGAATTTAATGTTCTGAAAATTTATAAAAGTAAACCGCAAAAAGTAAACGCAAAAGTAAACCTTATTTTAAATAATTATTTTATGAAAATTTTTTTTGTGGAGGCACATAAAATAAATTTTTTATCACTATTCGATATACTGCCATAAATCTTTTAATTGTCTTGTTTTTTTTTTAATCTTAACTGAAGAGTCAGGGTTGGAAGATTTGTATGATGTAAAATTGAAAGAAAAAAAAATTTAAATTCTAGAAATTTCATTCCTAAAAATTAAAAAAAATACATATATATATGTACATATATTATAAAACGGATCTAATATTTTAGTTTTTGATGTTATTTTTGTATTTTTTTAAGATAAACTTTGAAAAAAATGGAAAAAAGTAGTGTAGGGAAAAATGTAGGGAAAATAAAAAGTGGGTGTAGGGAAAAAAGGGATTTTTTCTCATAAGCGTAGGGATTTCTGAAAAAAATCTCCTGGCATCACTGATCTGTAGTTATTTTGACAGACTAGCGACTAAAAAATGTAAACAAAATATAATAATAAAAAATATGGATAGAAGTTTAAGTTAAATTTGTAGTCGTAATTCAGGTTTGAGTTGATGTACAACTCTCCCGTCCTCGCCATTATTTTGGCTTGTGTTTATTGCCAAGCTTTTAACAGAATTGCGTCTCACTCGAGCCAATTGAGTGTATTATACCGTATAATTATGCATTGTTTGCATTAATTACGTGCTTTTGTTTTACTTACCTCGTTTGAGGTTATGTTTCAATTGGGGGTCGATTGGGGGTCTCTCTCCGAACCAACGTGAGATAATTTGAAAATTTGAGTTTTTTAATACTCGCCAACAAATAAATTCAGAAATGAAGTTCTAAGGATTTTGTTTTTAAAAGCAGTTTTGAAAATCAATTTGAAAAGTTACTGGAAACTTAGAAAAATGAGACAGACACTGAAATTTGCAGTTGTCGGTTGCCAGTTACCATCTATAATTTCATTTTTTCAACTGACAACTCAACTGAGGTTCGGTTGCTATCGATTTAAT